CTGCCTGACTTATTTCCTTTGTGGATTTAAAAGTAAATGTTGAGGGGCACCTGGGTCGCTCAGTCTGCTAAACATCTGACTCTTGATTTTGGCTCAGGTCATGATCTTATGGTTCTTGAGCACGGAGCCTGCTTGAGATTCTCTCTCTCCCTTACTCTCTGCCCCTACCCTGCTCCCCCCCCTGTCTGTCTCTCTCAAAATAAATAAATAAACTTAAAAAAAGTAAAAGTTGGGAGGTGGGTTTTCCTATCTCTGTTGATTAGCATTCCTTCTGTGAATTGTCTGTTTATAACCTTTATTTGTTCTCTACTGTATTATTCATATATTTCTCATTGGTATTAGATGCCACTATTTTGTTACAGTTGTTGCAGATATTTTGTCCAAATAATTTGTTAATTATTTATATGCCTTTCTCTATGCAGAAGTTTAATTATTATATCATAAAATCTGTCAGTCTTTTCCTTTTCGGCTTTTGTGTTTCTTGTCATGCATCCACTCCCAGAATTTTAAAAATATTTTAAATGTCTTTAATAATTTTTTTAAAAATTATGCATTTAATCTACTTGGAATGTATATATGTCTTCTTACTCAGCATATCTAATATCCAATCCACTGTCTTTGTCAGAAAGCCACTGCTTCCTGACCGTGTTCATAGTATCATCCTTCTTTTAGTCACCCAGAGTTGAAATTGTGTCATCGTCTTCAGCTCCTCCTCACACCCTGCCTCTCCCTGCAACGTCACCACTACCATTAGGAATTATGAGCCAAATATACATCCTCTATGATCTGACTTTGAACCTTGGTCTACCATTGCTCCCCGATCACAATGTGAATTCTTACATGAAAACAGCCTGCTACTTACCATATCCAAAACACAGCCTATACATGACTACTTCCATACCTTGGCTCATGTTTTGCCCTCTGCCTACACTACACTCCTTTACCACACCCCATCTCTCCTCATTGGAATTCTACCTATCCATCAAGGCCTAGTTCACCTGTCATCTCTATAAAGCTTTCTCTGATCTATGGGAATAAAAAGGATCATCTCTGATTTTGAGCTCTCAAATCCTGTCTTAAATACTGCTCATTTATCTATTTTGATTTTGACCATTTCAAACTTAAAGTTGTAAGAATAGCACAAATAATTTCCTGGATATCCTTCACCCAGATTCCACAGGTCTATCTTGAGATTTAATCCCTCTCTCTCATTATCTGTCATCATCATACATACATATATACATATATTTTTATGAATCATGTGAAAATAAGTGGCAGGCATGATCTACATGATCCCCCTCTATCCTAAGTATTTGAGTGTGCATTGTGTATTTCCTAAAGACTAGGAATTCTCTTATGTAAGCACAGTACAATTGCCAAAATCAGAAAATTAATGTTAATAGTATTATTGAATCCACAGACTGGACTTGTCAGTTGTCCCAATAATGTCTTTATAGCAAAAGAAAATCTAAATTCTACATTTTGGGGCACCTGGTGGCTCAGTCAGCTGAGTGCCTGACTAGATTTTGACTCAGGTCATAATCCCAGGGTCGAGGGACAGAGCCCTGCATTGGGCTCTGTGCTGAGCATGAAGCCTGCTTAAGATATTTTCTCTCTCTCTCTCTCCCCCTCCCAGTGCATCTTCCTCTCTCTCTCCCTCTCTCCCTCCCTCCCCACTCTCCCCATATATATATTATTAAATTTTTTAAATAAGTAAATAAGTGTGCACGTCATTCAATTCTCATGTGTCCCTAGTCCCCTTTAATCTGGAACAGTTCCTGAATCTTTAATTTTTATGTTATTGACATTTGTGAAACATACTGATCAATTATTTTTACAAAATGTCCCTAAATTTTGGTTCGTTTGATGTTTTCTCATAATTAAATTGAGGTTTTGCATTTTTGGCAGGAATACCACTAAAGTGATGCCCAGTTCTTCTCGTCCCATTGCTGGTGTTATCACTTGGTTAACATAGTATCTTCCACATTCTGCCACTGTAAAGTTTTTATGTTGCACTTTATAATTAAAACTTATCTTGTAGAGTTTTATTATAAATATCCTGTTACTCTTCAGACTTTGATTCACTGTTTTCTTAACCCATTGTTGACTCTTCCTATGGTACTTTCAATTTCGTAGTCTTATTATTTATTATTTTTTATTTTTTAAAAATACTTTCTTGTCAAATTGGTTTCCATATAGCACCCTGTGCTCATCCCAACAAGAGCCCTCCCCCATGACCATTATCCCCTTCCCCTCCCCCTACCCCCATCCATAGTTTTAAAAATATATTTAATGAGAGTGCCTGAGTGGCTCAGTCAGTTAAGAATCTGACTCTTGGTTTCAGCTCAAGTTATGGTCTTACAATTTGTGAGATCAAGCCCCTAGTCAGGCTCCACACTGATAGCACAAAGCCTGCTTGGAATTCTCTCTCTCCTGCTCTTTCTGCCCCTCCCCCGCTCTCTCTCAAAATACATAAATAAATAATATATGTAATATGTTTTTTATTTTAATATATTTAGTATATTAAATATATTATATTAGTATATATTTACTATAATTTAATATATTGAGTAGATAATCCATTATCATGGTTTGAACTTTTTAAAGTACAAAAGGAAGGGCTCCTGGGTGGCTCAGTCAGTTAAATTTCTGACTTCAACTCAGGTCATGATCTCACAGTTCGTGGGTTCGAGCTCCACATTGGGCTGTGTGCTGACAGCTCAGAGCCTGGAACCTGCTTCAGATTATGTGTGTGTCTCTCTCTGAGCCTCCCCTGCTCATTCTCTGTCTCCCTCTCTCTCAAAAATAAAATAAATCATAAATTTTTTTAATGTACAGAAGGATACAGTGAAAGTGAAAAGATAAAAGGTCTTTCACCCACTTCTGGTCTCCAGATACCTGGTTCCCCAACTCACAGGCAATCAGTGTTATTGGTTTATTTGTGTATCCATCTGGGGACAGTTTATACATATGTAGGTAAATGTTGGTAAATAAGGACATATATATATGTACACCTGTTTACCCAAATGGAAGCGTAGTATATACACTGTTCTGTACCTTGCTTTTTTTTTCACTAAAACTATGTATCTTGAAAATCATTACATATATATTCCATTTATCTATGAGTGCTTTACAAATAACCCCAAAATTCAGTGGCTTAAACTAATAAAAGTAAAACGTTTAAATTATCCATCACAGTTCTGGGGCTTGTGTAGGCTCAGCTAGGCAGTTCGCATTTGGGATCTCATTCAGTTGTGGTCTGACAGTATCTGGGGCTGAAGTCACCATGAGGTTTGTCCACTTGAATATCTAGGAGTTGATACTGGTTGTTGGCTGGAACCTTGCCTGGAGCTGTCAGCTGGAACACCTACAGATGACCTCCCCATGTGTCTCTCCACTTCCTCACAGCCTGATGTCTAGTTACCAAGAATATGTGCCCCAGAAAGGACCAAGTGGAAGCTACGTGAATGTTTATGACCTAGCCTCAAAAATCATACAGCACTTGTATGCTTGTATCAAATTAGACACAAGCAGGCCTGGATTGAAGGGGAGAGAACATAGACCCAATCTCTTCATGGTAGGATTGTACAAGTCACACTGTAAGAAGAGCATGTTAGATGGAACATTATTGGAGTCATTTTGAAACATACAGTCTGCCACGATCTAGATCTGTATCATATTTTCCTAATAGTTACATAGCATTCCCTTCTTTGAATATACCACAATTTGTTTAACTAGTCCCCTATTGATGGACATTTGGGTTGTTTCCCATCATTCACTGTCACAAACACTACAGCAAATAACCTACCTCATAGTATGTATCATTTCTCATGTGTGGAGTTTATCCTACAGATATACCAGAAGTAGAATTGTTAGGTCAAAGAATATAGATATTTTGAATATTAATATGTATTTCCAAATAGCTCTCCAGAGAGAGTGTCTCAACTTTTACTCCCACTGGTAATATATCAAAACTACCTATTTTCCCAAAGCCTCATCAATGCAGTGTTATCAAATTTGGGGATTTTTGACAACATGATAGATTTAAAAAGTGTTATCTTGGCATAATGTTAATTTTTCTATTATGAGTGAGATCAGAAACTTTTTCCCATATTTAAAATCCATCAGTATTTGACCATATTTTCTTTTGTGTCTTTTTTTTTTTTTTTTTACTATCTGTTAGAGTTCTTTATATATATATTATGGGAATTAGCCTATGAACTGCAAATATTTTTATGTTTGTAATTTGTACCATGACTTTGCTTATGGTGCTTTTTGCAATAAGAATTTTGTTGTTTCTATGTATATAAATGCATCAGTATTTCTTTTATGGCTTCTTATGTATAGGTTATAGTTTTTAAGAAGTCCTCTTGCCCTCAAAGTCATAAACCGGTTCTCCCATATTTTTTCTAGTACCTTTACATTGAAATATTTGATACATTTGGAATTCTGATATACAATGTAAGGCATGAATCTAGCTTCTTTTTCAGATGGTTACTTCATTGTCTTAATATTGTTTAATAAATAATCTATCTTTATTGTATATCAAATTCCCAGTTTCATAGCAATTTATATATTTTATGGTACTTCACAGTTGACTCATGTTATAGTAATCTTTACAACAAAAAATAAAATAAAAATAAGCACATATCTTTTTTATCTCTTCATTAGCTCCCTAAGTGTAGCATACTTTCTGAACTATCAATAGTTAAATTAAACCTTTGACTTTATTTTTAGCTATGTTGAAGACTGTGAAGAGAGTAAAAGAATGCATTTTGTAAAAACACAGCTAGAAACTAAGACTTTTTCTTGTCTAGGTATTTGTGTTTCAGGGCTGATCACTATTCATAGGTTTACAAGGATTCTTGGTAAATAATATTTAGTATTTCCTAATGAGACAGACCTAACAAAAATAGGCACATCCGTTTTAACAGTGAAACAAATGATTATTGCCAGTAGCTTTATTTAGAATTAATGTAGGTCTCTCTTTAACATTTCAGAGGACCTGACTGGGACACTGGATTATATGATGAAGGGAGTGCAACAGTCCGAGAGCTGCTTACTGAACTGTATGGCAAAGTTGGAGAAATTCGTCACTGGGGCCTGATCCGGTACATCTCTGGAATCTTAAGGAAGAAAGTGGAAGCACTCGATGAGGTACTATAAATTCTTCTTGAACTTATACCAAATCTAAATGAAGGTGCTTTTTTAAAGCATTTCAAAAAAAGTAAATTTATTTTTTAATTTATTTTTTAAAATCAAGTTCGTTAACATAATGTAATATTGGTTTCAGAAGGAGAACCCAGTGATTCATTACGTACATATGACACCCAGTGCTCATCCCAACAAGTACATTCCTCAATACCCATCACCCATTTATCCCATCTCCCACCCACCTCCCCTCCAGCAACCCTCAATTTGTTCTCTATATTTAAGTGTCTCTTATGGTTTGCCTCCCTCTTATTATCTTATTTTGTGTTCCCTTCCCATGTGTTCATCTGTTTTGTCTCTTAAATTCCACATATGAGTGAAGTCATATATTTGTCTTTCTCTAAGTAACTTACTTTGACTTACTTCACTTAGCATAATACATTCTACTTCCATCTATATTGTTGTAATTGTTAAGATTTCATTCTTTTTTATTGCTGAGTAGTATTCCATTGTGTATATATCCACATCTTCTTAATCCATTCATCGGTAGATGGACATTTGGACTCTTTCCATAATTTAGCTATTGTTGACAGCACAGCTATAAATATCAGGTGTATGTGCCCCTTCAAATCAGCATTTTTGTATCCTTTGGGTAAATAGCTAGTAGTGCAATTGCTGTGTCATAAGGTAGTCCTATTTATAATTTTTTGAGGAACCTCCATACTGTTTTCCAGGGTGTCTGCACCAGTTTGCATTCCCTCCAGCAGTGCAAACGCATTCCCATTGCCTTGCATCCTCGCCAACATCTGTTGTTTCCTGAGTTATTAATTTTATCCACTCTGACAGATGTGAGGTGGTATCTCATTGTGGTTTTGCTTTGTACTTCCCTGAAGATGAATGATGTTGAGCATCTTTTCATATGTCTGTTATCCATCTGGATGTCTTCTTTTGGGAAGTGTCTATTTATGTCTTCTGCCCATTTCTTCACTGGATTATTTAATTATTGGGTATTTAGTTTCATAAGGTTTTTTTAAAAATAGATTTTGGATACTAACCCTTTATCCAATATGTCATTTTCAAATATCTTCTCCCATTCTGTTGGCTACCTTTTGGTTTGGGTGATTGTTTCCTTCACTGTACAGATGTGTTTTATCTTGATGAGGTCCCAATAGTTGACGTTTGCTTTTGTTTCCCTTACCTCCAGAGATGTATCTAAAAAGAAGTTGCTGCGGCCGAGGTCAAAGAGGTTGCTACCTGTTTTCGCCTATAGGATTTTGATGGTTTCCTGTTTCATATTTAGGTCTTTCATCTATTTTGAATTTATTTTTGTGTATGGTGTAAGAAAATGGTCCAGGTTCATTCTTCTGCATGTCACTGTCCCATTCTCCCAGCATCATTTGCTGAAGATAGTGTCTTTTTTCCACTGGACACTCTTTCTTGCTTTGTTGAAGATTAGTTGGTCACACATTTGTGAGTCCATTTCTAGGTTCTCTGTTCTGTTCCATTGGTCTATGTGTCTGTTTTTGTGCCAGTACCACACTGTCTTGATGATTACAGCTTTGTACTATAGCATGAAGTCCGGAATTGTGATGCCTCCAGCTTTGGTTTTCTTTTACAACATTACTTTGACTATTTAGGATCTCTTCTGGTTCCACACAAATTTTAGGATTGATTACTCTAGCTCTGTGATGAATGCTGGTGTTATTTTGATAGGGATTGCAGTGAATGTGTAGATGGCTTTGGGTAGTATTGACATTTTAACAATATATGTTCTTCCAATCCATAAGTATGGAATGTTTTTCCTTTTTTGTGTGTGTGTGTCTTCTTCAATTCCTCTCAGAAGCTTTCTGTAGTTTTCAGTGCACAGATCTTTTACCTCTTTAGTTAGGTTTATTCCTAGGTATCTTATGGTTTTGGTTGCAATTATAAGTGACTCTGATTCCTTGATTTCTCTTTCTGCTGCTTCATTATTGGTGTATAGAAATGCAACCAATTTCTGTACGTTGGTTTTATATCCTGTGACTCTGTTAAATGGAGGTGCTTTTTTAAACACTGGTTTCCACGGGCACCCTCCTGCACTGTTGGTAGGAATGTAAACTGGTGCAGCCCCTCTGGAAAATACTGTGGAGGTTTCTCAAAAAGTTAACAATAGAAATTCCCTATGACCCAGCAATAGGACTGCTAGGAATTTACCCAAGGGATACAGGAGTGCTGATGCATAGGAGCACATGGACCCCAATGTTCATAGCAGCACTCTCAACAATAGCCAAAACATGGAAAGAGCTTAAGTGTCCATCAACTAATGAATGGATCAAGAAGATGTGGTTTATTTATACGATGGAATACTACATGGCAATGAAAAGGAATGCAATCTGGCCATGTGTAGCACATGGATAGAACTTGACAGTGTTATGCTGAGCAAAGTAAGTCAGGCAGAGAAGGACAGATACCATATGTTTGCATGTATAGGTGGATTAGGAAGAACTTAATGGAGGACCATGAGGGAGAAGAAGGGGAAAAATAGTAGGGGAGGGGGAGGGAGGCAAACCATGAGAGACTCATGAATGCTGAGAACGAACTGAGAGCTGATGAGGGTGGGGGAGAGAGGAAGGGGGGTGATGGGCATGAGGAGGGCACGTGTTGGGATGAGCACTGGGTGTGTTATGGAAATCAACTTGACAATAAACTATTTAAGAAAATAAATAAATAAATAAATAAATAAATAAATTTATAAATAAAATGCATATACACTTAGGGGAAAAAAACTGGTTTCCATAATGGATTTCTAAAGAAACCACAGCACCTTAATCATTTGAGATGTTATCTTTCTCACATAAAGTTCCTGATAACTAGCTTTTTGTTTGTGAATGTCAAATATATAATATTGAAGCATATAAACTGTAAGACGTTATAAACTATAAGAATTCTACATCTTAAGAATGAATTTACAGTGAACTAAAAATTCCTACCTCTTAGGAGATAAAAAATACTTCATTGTTTCTTCCTAAAATGTTTTTTTTCCTGATCTTCATGGTATTTCCTGAGAAAGAGGATTTGGTGCATCAATAAAATAAGAAGAGAAAAAGGTTTGTAGGCTAAGAAGAGTAATTGTCATGGAAATCTGGGGTGTTATGGGCAGGATAATGCTGTTATGCCATCTCTTCTTAGGCCTGCACGGACCTTCTCTCCCACCAGAAACATTTGACAGTGGGACTCCCTCCAGAACCTCGAGAGAAGACCATCTCTGCGTGAGTATGGTTTTTGGTTGGGTTTGATCAAGCTTCTCTGAGCATTTAAGGAGCTATGTGGACTGACCACAATTCTCTTGCCCTAATCTGTCAGGAGATGATAATGTCCTACATGTGTGGACTTCTGTTAGAGACACTGACATGAGAATGTTGATAGTGACAGAGCATGAGTAAATGGAAGAGAAGATTCACAAGAAGTATTACTCAAATGTAGTTTCCTAGGGTTTTGTTGGTGGTGGTGGCGGTGATGGTGGTTTTTGTTTTTGTGCTTGTTTTTTACTTATTGGGATTCCCAAACCTCACATTGAAAAACAGTCCAAAATAGGACAGACAAATAGAATGAGCACCCACAAAATATCTGCTATACTCGACTTTCTTCCAGGCCTCTCTCTTTGGCTTGTAGATGGCTACTTTCTTCCTATATCTCTTCACATATCTTCCCTCTATGTGTATCTTTGTGTCCAAAATTCCCAAATTTTTTATATAAGGACACTAGGAATATTGGATGATGGCCCACCCAATGGCCTCACTCTAACTTAGTTACTTCTGTAAAGACCTCATCTCCAAATAAGGTCACATTCTGAGGTACTAAGGGTTAGAATTTCAACCTATGATCTTTGACAGGACACAATTCAACCTGCAATACCTTACTCTCTTCAGAGATTTTTTTTTTTAATCACAAATCTGATCAGTTTTGGACTACTGTGGCAATCCAGAAGAGGATGGCATGACCCATGTCCCATTCCTCCAAAGTGCTTAGTATCAACAGGAGAGTCATAAGTGTGAGAAGAGGTATACATACCTCTGTGTGTGTGTGTGTGTGTGTGTGTGTGTATAAACTGATAAAACTAGAAAATAAGTATAACTAAGGTGTGATCATAAAGTAATAAAATGGTTTCCAAAAGGCGCAGCTTAAATTTAGTTCGTTACTTCCTAGCCATAATAGTTACTGGTCATGTGTTAAGAATTAAACCTGAAATACTGATCTGGAAGGACCTCATCGAGCAAATTTTACATAAAATTTTGAAGGAGAGGGCATTCCAGGTTTAGAAGGGAGAAAGGAGAGCTTTTCTAATTGATATAGGGAGAAATGGTTTAGGGAGGCAATGAACTTTGAAGACTCAAAGAAAAAGATGCAACCAGTAACGAGACATTAAAGCAGTGACTTGGACTTGGGAGGAGGTTTTTTATTTTCTCCATGTATTTAGTCTTAAATAGTCACAGAATTTTGTCTTTCTTCACTGTCTTCTCCCTCAGACCTCTGCCCTATGAAGTGCTTACTCAACTGATAGATGAAGCCAGTGAAGGGGACATGAGCATTTCCATCCTTACACAGGTGAGCAGAATTATGAAGTCTAGTATGGTGATTGACATTTTTGTTTTCAATTGATCCGGCAATTTCCAAAGACTACAAAATAGGCCTGGTGAGACCTGGGCCATAATTTTTGTCTCTATTCATTCTGCGCACAGGAAATAATGGTATATCTAGCCATGTATATGCGAACTCAGCCTGGGCTCTTTGCCGAAATGTTTCGACTTCGAATTGGTCTAATCATACAAGTTATGGCAACAGAACTGGCGCACTCACTTCGATGCTCAGGTACTCATTTTAGTAACTATTTTCTTTTCTTTTCTTTTTTTTGAACTTATACATATACTGGAATTTATTATTATTATTTTTACAAATAGTTTATTATCAAGTTGGTTTCCATATAACACCCAGTGCTCATCCCCACAAGTGCCCCACTCCATGCACATTTCCCCCCACCCACCCCCACATCCATCAATCCTCAGTTTGTTCTCAGCATTCAAGAGTCTCTCATGGTTTGCCTCTCTCCCATTCCTCCACTATTTCCCCCCCTCTTTTCTCCCATGGTCCTCCGTTAAGTTCCTCCTAATCTTCCTATACGTGCAAACATATGATATTTGTCCTTCTCTGCCTGACTTACTTCGCTAAGCATAACACCCTCAAGGTCCATCCACGTTGCTACACAAGGACAGATTTCATTCTTTCTCATTGCCAGGTAGTATTCCATTGTATAGATAAATCACATCTTCTTGATCCATTTGTCAGTTGATGGACACTTAGGCTCTTTCCATGTTTTGGCTATTGTTGAGAGTGCTGCTATGAACATTGGGGTACATGTGCTGCTATGCATCAGCACTCCTTTATCCCTTGGGTCAATTCCTAGCAGTGCTATTGCTGGGTCATAGGGGAGCTCTATTGTTAATTTCCTGAGGAACCTCCACACTGTTTTCCAGAGGGGCTGCACCAGTTTACATTCCCACCAACAGTGTAGGAGGGTGCCCGTTTCTCCACATCCTCGCCAGCATCTAGAGTTCTCTGATTTGCTCATTTTAGCCACTCTGACTGGCATGAGGTGGTATCTCAGTGTGGTTTTGATTTGTATTTCCCTGATGAGGAGGGATGCTGAGCATCATTTCATGTGTCTGTTGGCCATCTGGATGTCCTCTTTGGAGAAGTGTCTGTTCATATCTTCTGCCCATTTCTTTACTGGGTTGTTTGTTTTTCGGGTGTGGAGTTTGGTGAGTTCCTTATAGATTTTGGATATTAACCCTTTATCTGATATGTCATTTGCAACTATCTTTTCCCAATCCGTTGGTTGCCTATTAGTTTTGTGGATTGTTTCCTTTGCCGTGCATAAGCTTTTGATCTTAATGAGGTCCCAATAGTTTACTTTTGCTCTTGATTCCCTTGTTTTTAGGGATGTGTCAAGTAAGAAGTTGCTGCGGTAGAGGTCAAGGAGGCTGTTTCCTGCTTTCTTCTCTAGGGTTTTGATGGTTTCCTGTCTCACGTTCAGGTCCTTTATCCATTTTGAGTTTATGTTTGTGTATGGTGTGAGAAATTGATCTAGTTTCATTCTTCTGCATGTTCCTGTCCAGTTCTCCCAGCACCATCTGTTAAAGAGGCTGTCTTTTTCCATTGGGTTTTCTGTCCTGCTTTATCAAAGATTAGTTGCCTGTATACCTTTGGGTCCAGGTCTGAGTTCTTAATTCTGTTCCATTGGTCTATGTGTCTATTTTTGTGCCAATACCATACTGTCTTGATGATGACAGCTTTGTAGTAGAGGCTAAAGACTGGGATGGTGATATCTCCCGTTTTGGTTTTATTCTTCAATATTACTTTGGCTATTCGGCGTCTTTTATGGTTCCATACTAATTTTAGGATAGTTTGCTCTAGTTTTGAGAAGTATACTGGTGCAATTTTGTTTGGAATTGCATTGAATGTGTAGATTGCTTTGGGTAGTAATGACATTTTAACTATATTTATTCTTCCTATCCATGAGCATGGAATGTTTTTCCATTTTTTGTGTCTTCTTCAATTTCCTTCATAAGTTTTCTATAGGTTTCATCATACAGATCTCTTGTATCCTTGGTTAGGTTTATTCCTAGGTATTTTATGTTTTTTTGTGCAGTTGTGAATGGGATCAGTTTCTTGATTTCTCTTTCTGTTGCTTCATTATTGGTGTATAAGAATGCAACCAATTTCTGTACATTGATTTTGTACCCTGCAGCTTTGCTGAATTCATGGATCAGTTCTAGTAGGCTTCTGGTGGAGTCTGTCGGGTTTTCTATGTGGAGTATCATGTCGTCTGCGAAAAATGAAAGTTTGACTTCTTCTTTACCAATTCTGATGCCTTTTACTTCGTTTTGTTGTCTGATGGCAGATGCTAGGACTTCCAGCACTATGTTAAACAACAATGGTGAGAGTGGACATCCCTGTCGTGTTCCTGATCTCAGGGGGAAAGCTCTCAGTTTTTCCCCATTGAGGATGATGTTAGCTGAAGGCTTCTCATAGATGGCTTTGATGATGTTTCAGTAGGTTCCTTCTATCCCAATCTTCTCTAGAGTCTTTATTAAGAAGGGATGCTGTATTTTGTCACATGCTTTTTCTGCATCTATCGACAGGATCATATGGTTTTTATCTTTTCTTTTGTTGATGTGATGTATCACACTGATTGATTTGGGAATGTTGAACCAGCCCTGTAACCCAGGAATCTGTATTCATAAAGGATATTGGCCTGTAGTTCTTCTTTTTGCTGGATCTCTGTCTGGCTTGGGAATCAGAGTGATGCTGGCTTCATAAAATGAGTCCGGGAGTTTTCCTTCGATTTCTATTTTTTGGAATAACTTGAGAAGAATTGGGATTAATTCTGTTTTAAATGTCTGGTAGAATTCCCCAGGGAAGCAATCGGGTCTAGGGCTCTTATTTGTTGGGAGATTTCTGATAACTGATTCGATTTCTTCACTTGGTATGGGTCTGTCCAGGTTTTCTATTTCTTCCCATGCGAATTTTGGTAGTTTAGGTGTTCCCATATTCGGTGCATAGACATTTATGATTGTTAGTTCTTCCTGATGGATAGACCCTGTAATTATTATGTATGCCCTTCTTCATCTCTTGTTATTGTCTTTAAAGTCCAGTTTGTCTGATAGAAGTATAGCTACTCAAGCTTTCTTTTATTTCCAGTAGCATGATATATTTTTCTCCATCCCCTTACTTTTAATCTGAAGGAGTCTTCCAGTCTATGATGAGTTTCTTGTAGACAGCATATAGATGGATTTTGTTTTTTTATTCATTCTGCTACCCTATGTCTTTTGATTGAAGCATTCAGCCCATTTACATTCAGTGTTATTATTGAAATATATGGGTTTAGAGTCTTTGTATCTTTTGTAGAGTTCATGTTTGTGGTGGTGTCTCTGGTATCTTTGTTCCTTGCAACATTTCCTTCAGAAAGTCCCCCTCAGGATTTCTTGTAAGGCTGGCTTAGTGGCGACAAATTCTTTCCATTTCTGTTTATTTGGAAAGACTTTTATCTCGCCTTCTATTTTGAATGACAGACTTGCTGGATAGAGGATTCTTCACTGCATATTTTTTCTGTTCATCACATTGAATATCTCCTGCCATTCCTTTCTGGCCTGCCACGTTTCAGTAGATAAGTCTGTCACCACTCTGATAGGTTTCCCTTTGTATGTGAGGGCCCTTTTCTCCCTAGCTGCTTTCAAAATTCTCTCCTTCTCCTTATATTTTGCCATTTTTACTATGATATGCTGTGCCAAAGATCGATTCAAGTTACGTCTGAGGGGAGTCCTCTGAGCCTCTTGTATTTCAAAGTTTACATCCTTCCCCAGATTGGGGAAGTTTTCTGCTATAATTTGTTCCAGGACTCCTTCAGCACCTTTCCCTCTCTCTTCCTCTTCAGGGATTCCTATGATACGGATATTGTTGCATTTGACCGTGTCGCTGAGCTCTCGAGCTCTTCTTTCATGTTCCTGAATTGGCTTGTCTCTTTTTTTCTCAGTTTCTTCTTTTTCTATAATGGTGTCTTCTACTTTTTTTTTAATGTTTTATTTATTTCTAGGAGAGAGAGAGAGAGAGAGACAGCATGAGCAGGGGAGGGTCAGAGAGAGAGGGAGTCACAGACTGAAACAGGCTCCAGGCTCTGAGCTGGCAGTCAGCACAGAGCCCGACGCGGGGCTCGAACCCACAAATCGCGAGATCATGACCTAAGCGAAAGTCGGACGCTTAACCGTCTAAGCCACCCAGGCGCCCCTATAATGGTGTCTTCTAAATCACTTATTCTCCTTTCTGCCTCTTCAATCCGTGCATTGGAGGACTCTAATTTATTATGTATCTCATTTATCACATTTTTAAATTCATCATGCCTATTTTTATTCTCCGTGTTGCTTGTAGCCATAGTTTCTTTGATGTCCCCTGTGCTTTTTTCAAGTCCAGCTATTAATTTTATGATTATTGTTCTAAACTCTTGTTCAGTTATGCTGCTTATATCTGTTTTGAGCAGTTCATTAGCTGTCAATTCTTCTTGGAATTTCTTTGGAGGAGAGCTCTTTTGTTTCGTCATTTTAGTTAGCTTTCTGTCTCTTGTTAGTTTTAAAGACTTGTTATGCTCTCTGCACCTTTGAGCACCGCTGTACCCAAGGAAACTCTTTGACTGTACAGGGCCTATCCTTTCGGAGAGTGTTTTTTGAATGGTATCTTTTGGTGTCTCTTGTTGGGACCTTGGTTATTTTATTTTCCTACTCATAGTGATATTTGGGACTCTCCACCATGTGTACTTTGGCTTGTTTCTTGAGGTAGCCCTGGAAAAGAAAACAGACAGACAAACAAACACACAGGGAGCAGAGGCACACAAACGCATGGACAAATCCAACTAACATGCAAACCGAGAAGGAAAACGAAAAAGTTAAGAGGAAAGACGGAGGAGGGAAGACGAATAATAGAAAATAAGAAAATACCTAAAAGGGTCTAAAAGAAGAAAAGAAAAGGAAAAAAGAAGAAAACCGATGGACAAAGAACGGTTTAAAGCATATAACCGGATTTCCCAGCTATAATTAAATAGCCGGGTGTATGCAGTGCTGGTTGAAGAGCATAGAGAAAGAGAGCGAAGACAGGGTGGCGATGAGGCAAAATTGGAAATAGAATGAACAGGCAGAAGGGATAAGAAGCTTTTTTCAAAGAGCTAAAGGGTGGAATATGGTTGGAGAGGTGAGAGAAGAACGCTGGTGTTATCCAGAGAAACTATATAGTCTAATTACTCCTGAGAGAAAGAGATGAAAAGG